AAAGGAAAGGAAAGGAAAGGAAAGGAAAGGAAAGGAAAGGAAAGGAAGATAAAAGAAGGAAAGGAAATGATAGAAGAAGGAAAGATAGAAGGAAAAGAGGAAAGGAAGATAGAAAAAGGAAAGGATGATAGAAGAAGGAAAGGAAGATAGAAAAAGGAAAGGAAAGGAAGATAGAAGAAGGGAAAGGAAGGAAAGGAAAGCAAAAAGGAATGATTATAAGGAAGCAACTTCTGATATTCTTGATATTTATATTTGGCCCTCTGTCTCTAAAGTTTTACCATAAATCATTTTCATCCATAAAATTTCTAATTTTCAAAATCATGTATTCCTCTTTTTTCCAGCTAGAAATCCATATGATAAGGGATTTCCAGTAATCTGATAAACAGTAGGCGTACATCTTTCTCTAATAAAACTTTGCCATCTCTGCTAGATGTTCACCAACCATCCTCCATTGTGGCTATTTCAGAACCTTTCCATTTTCATGCTGCCTCCCCACCCCTCAAAAAAAAAAAAATGGCCTGGGAATAACCACAATAGCCAGAGTGGGTCTGTCTCTTTGAAGGAAACTTGACTTGAAGTTCTGCTTCAGGGGACAGCTGTACTCAAGTGCTTCTCCGAGGAAGCTGAGTAGAAACTTCTGAATGAGGAGATTCCTCATTCACAATGAAGTTTCCTACCACCCTTCAGAAACTGGGACAGTAAGCAAAGGAGAACTGAGTCTACCCTGTCAAGCCTTTAACTCTCAGGTGTTGTTTGTGGGTATTCTACTGACTGAACAAGATATTTGAATATCTAAAACCATGTTTATTTGTTTTAATTGATTAATTTGGAGGCTGCCCCACTCTACAATGACCGTGGAGCTTACAATTTCAGGAAAGGAAACAAATAAAAGATTCTAAAGTATCTGGACAACAATATCCTACAATCACCCTACCAAAGGCTTGGAAGACTAGTAATGTTTTAAGACGCCCAGAATATTTTTAGGAGATTTCTTCTGTAGGCTTTGTTTATTTGCTAACCTTGAGAAATAAGATACTTTGGGATTTCCTCAGCATTGTATAGAACTGGGGTGTTTTGCTCCCTGGTTGATTATTGCCCAGATACCTTGGGTGAAGTCCATATTTGCCTTGATTCAAGAGATTGCTTCTTTTATTCTACTCAGAGCAGGTCAAGATAATGCTATTTATAGGTCTCATATTGGATGACGGAAATGCAAAGCAAGAGAGCTTTGGAGCTTTTGACAGCAATACCTTGAACATGTCATTCCCACATGTCAGCTGGAGGAATGCAGGTTAAAAGGCAGCGGAATAGATTAGATGTACAAAATGGCTAACAAGCAGTACTGACAAAGCAAATGTTAATGGATTATTCTGGTTTGGAGAAGATAAGGGGTGAAATTCCATAGAGTACTGCTCACTTCTTAATGGTTGAGTAAAAGACTGGACAGAAAGCACCACCATACAGCTAATAGTTACCTGCCCCTTCTATGTATATTTATAGAAGGCAAGGTGGAGAAAGGAAATTATCATCTTCCTGTAACCGTTCTCTCTCATCTTGCTTAATCACAACTAGTCAGCCAAGTTGAAGGCATTTCTTCATTGACGAATGGTCTGTTTTCATTCATGGGCATAGCCTGAATGGTGCTAATGGAAGCTTCTGAAAGGATTGGAGTAACATATGTAGAATTTGATAGTTGATGCAAGAGGTTGATATCTTCATCAGCCTCATCAAGTTTTGGGTTGTAAACTCAAGATAAAGACTTCCTTCAGAAGACTCAGATGCCAAGCCCCTAAAACAAACAAAAAAAAGGCATGATTTCAGTATTTGTTCCTCACCCGCAGACATAATCTTGCCAAACTAAAGCATGCTAACACCCCATAAAAGATATACTCTGGCAATTATTAGGGAGAAGCTGTCTTCACTCTCTTTCTCCCACACAAATGATCTGAACTGTGTTGTCTCTTGCTCCTTTGGAATGCATTCCTTCCCTCCTGGGAACCTGGACAACATTCCATCACACAGTTATGATTGTGATGGACATGGAACCTTCCTTCTGTGGTCAAATCTTTTTGAGAGAGAGGAGAGGAAAGAAGGAGAGGAGAGGAGGGGAGGGGAGGGAGGGGAGAGAAGAGAAAAGGAGAGGAGAGGAGAGGAGAGGAGAGGAGAGGAGAGGAGAGGAAAGGAAAGGAAAGGAGAGGAAAGGAGAGGAGGGGATGGGAGGGGAGGAGA